ATAATAGTATATTAATAGTATATAATTATAATATTAATTTTGATATTAAATTAATATTATTAATATTATATATAATATTATAAATTTAGAAATAATATTAAGATGTTTATACTATTTATTTCATTAATAAAAAAAAAAAAATGACCCAAATGGAAAATAAACAATAACACAAATAAACTAATATTATAATTGTATTGTTCTTCTCGTGAAAAACACGAGACGCGAAAATTCAATCATCTCGTCACCTTCGATCATGACCATGATGATCCATCATCAACATTACTATCGCAAAGATCTAATGTGACCGGACTATTCTGAATGCGTCAATCATCGACCGCCGTTAATTACGTTCCTAACCGCGACCGCAATCATGCGATGCGGACCATCTATATTTACCTTTTCGCAAACGGATTTCATCTGACCGTAGTGCCGAACATTCGTATAAGCTTCCTATCATACATTTCATAATCCACAACAATTAATGATAAACTATCTAATATTGTATCATTAAAGTGATTGCAACGATGAAGAAAAAAAGAATGATAGAAAAAAAAAACAAAATGGAGTAAGAAGAGTATTAACACTTTAATGGCCGCATGTACGTGTTGTATGCAGTCAAAAGTCGTCAGGGACTTGGTAATATTTTTCTAGAAATTATGTTTATACAAAATTTTATTGTCATTTATGAAAGAATTAATATAAAACAAAAAACAGTATAAATTACATTTTATATAAAATTTTAAATCTGAAAGAAATAGAATTTGAAGACCGCGAATGGAAGGATTGCGTTCAGGGACGAGAACAATGGCGGAATTTGATATTTGCGGAATGTGAACTTTCGAGTTCCTTATGCCAATTAATAATAAAATAATAATAATAATAATAATGTAATTTTAAATATCTATATAAAGTTATAAATAAAATAACGGCCAATATTCCAATTACCACACACGTGTTGCGTGAACGGTCATTAAAGTGTTAATTTATTATTGAAACAAACGGAAAAAAACAAAAGGTATAAATAATCATGATTATTCGTTTTGGAATGACAATATATAAACACTCGAAAGGATACAAAAAAAAAAATAAAAAAATAAAATAAATAGAAAACAACAGGAAGAATTTCGTCAATTTATTGATAACTTATTATGATAAGTATCAAACTTCTTATGATAAAGTTTAATTAATTAATCGCTACACGCGATATATACGAATATAATGTATAGATTAATCGAGTGTATGGTTATCATGATTGATTGAAAATGATAAACAATGTGAATATGTTTTGATAATATAATATAATAAAATAAAATAAAGTAGAGACAAGAAAAATACTCAAATTAGTCGTAGATACATATATTTACGACGATTTTGTAAATAATCGTGTAAATTAAAGTTGCAAACTAATCGCAAATAATTTATGCCTTAATTAGTCGAGAGTTAATTAAAATATTTATTTTATACTACTATGTTGGAAATAATTTGTTCAAAAAAGCAAGTGTTAAAAAAAAAAAAAAAAAAAAAATGATAAAAGAATGAAATATTATAAATGTGTTTTTTTTTTCTTTGGTTTTTTCTTTTTTCTTTTTTTCAAAAATAATTCCGTCCATTGCTTTATTCATTTCT